CAAATCGATCAAGTCGAAGGTTACCTCAACAGCCCGACCGGAAACATCAGTTATCCAAATAACATTACGATTTTGAACTTTGTGGACTTCTTGTTGGTACCAACTTTGGTCTACGAATTGGAATATCCCAGAACCGAAAAGTAGGTTGAAGGATCATCATCATTGTAATTTATTTTTTGATTAATTTCTCATCATTGACATCAACATCAGAATACGCCCGTGGTACGTGTTCGAAAAGGCGATGGCGATATTCGGCACATTCTTTTTATTGTACATTAATACCGAACAATATATTATTCCCGCATTGCCGAACGCTTCAACTTCATTTCTTAACTGTATATTACAAATGGCATTTCCATTTATGATGAATTATTTGTTAATATTTTATATAATATTTGAGGGTATATGCAATGTTTTTGCAGAGTTAACGAGGTACGGGATTATTCGCCGGTCGTATTGTTCAAATTGCAAACGTGCGATCGTTACTCACACGCACTCTTTTTCAAAGGTTTGCGGACAGAGAATTCTACGACGATTGGTGGAATAGGTAATAATCGAATAGGTCACTTTTATCATACATCCATCACGAGCATATGTGTTAATTAATCGATTATTATTATTTTTTTTTCTAGTACGACATGGGAGGAGTTTGCTAGGAAGTGGAATAAGCCAGTGCATCATTTCCTCTTGAGGCACGTCTACCGCTTTTCCATTGAATCCTACAAATTGTCCAAACGTGATGCAACATTCATGACGTTCTTCCTCTCGTCGCTGATTCACGAATTGGTTATGGTGGTTGTATCAAAAAAGATCCGAATGTATCTATTTTTCTTTCAAATGCTTCAACTGCCGCTTATCGCAATGAGCAAACTAAAAGTGATGAAAGACAATAAATGGTTTGGGAATGCATTCTTCTGGTTTGGGTTATTCTTGGGTCCACCGTTGCTAGGGATATTGTATTGTCGGGAGGTATTTTTGGAGTAAATATTTATCATAAAATTATTCATCAAAAAAATCAGACTTAACATAGAGTTATTTCATTAATTTATTATTGTTATTTTATAAGTCGCGGAAAATTTTTCATTTATCATACAATTCAAAAACAAAAAAAAAAGAGAGACGGACAACTATCAAATTATCTATTATGAGCTAAATGTCAAAGAAATAAATTATCAAACTTCAAAACATGGACTATTATTATTTAATCATGACTCCGGCAATCTTATTTTAACATCAGTTTGGCCTCCCTTTTATACTTTTACATATTGTTTCTTCTGTTCATAACGATGTACGTATGATAATAAAAATGATCCAAAGTAATTAGGTTTCTAAATAAATAACACAAAATCATCATCTAATGTTCTAGTTAGTATAATTTCATGAATGGATTTTGACTAAACAGGAAAATTTGCATTAAACATAATTACTAATAAATAAATCCATATACAGTATAATTATTATGTAAAAAATAATAAAAAATAAATATACTGTAGCTAAATGATTTATACATAATCTAAGAAATTCAATTAAAAATTGCATGGTCATTTCCATCACATATTTGCTTCTTATTGGATCAAGCTCAAAGAATTTGTTTTTAAAAACAAGGCATTTATTTTCACAAAAAAATCCAAAAAATATAATTAATCTATGTTCTAGCATTCTAACATTTACTTGTTTTTTAAAGAAAAAAGATGCATTTATAAAAAATAATTGAACTAAAAAAGGGTAGGTTATATGAAAAAAAATTGATTTTATTAAAAAATATCACAAAAAAGTTTTTATATATTAATTCTTATATATAATATAAAAATATAAATAATATTGCTTATAATATAATAAAATAATATACAGTATATTGTATAATGTATTTAACATTATTACGTGTCATTTATTTCAATAAAACAATCTAATTGATATCTAAAATATATGATAATATTAATAATTTGATAATTTGATTATTACAATAATTATAATGATTAGATTAAAATATAATTTTTATTGTAATAATTATTATAATTAATAAGAAATATCATATTTATTATATAAAAATATAAATATATGATTAAAATTTAATTTAAAAACTCTTTTCTAATCATATCCATTTTGCTTAAAATTTTTATTTATGATAATTTTGATTAAAAAAAAAATACTCTACATTCTTTATCACAAGTAAACCTCAACTCAAAAATTCAAAAATATTAAAGACAACTAATACAGTAAAATAAAATCTTTGGTTAAAGTCTACTCAAGTTTGGAAGTCTTGTTTATCCTTCAGTTATATGAAAAAAGATCTATAGTAATATACTTTATTCTTTGATTCTCTTGTAATTTAAATCCTTTTACTATTATAAAATTATTTTTATTAATATCATCACACTTAATAAATACTAATTTTTTTCATATCAAAAAAATTGTCTTTTTAAAAAATTTTTGAAAGCAACAAAAAAGTGAAAGAAAAATAGGAGTCAATCAAGCAACAATATTAAGTATGTGAAGAGAAAGAGATACAAAAAAAAAAATAATAAATACAACTAGAGAAGCAAGAGTGATAGCAATTATTATTATCAAGAGAGAACCAGGCAGACTGAAAAGCTTGGATAAAAAAAAAAGAAAAAAAATATCAGTGCGAGTAACAAGTATGAATATAAGGAAAATGAAAACAAAAAAGCAAAAAATAAAGAAGATAAAGCAGAAGAAGAAATGCACAAGAAAATAGAAAAGCAAGAAATGAAAATCAAAGAGAAAGGACCAAGAACAAAAGAAGGAAGTGGAATATTGTAGGATCAAATATTAGAGCAGGAGAAATGAAATCATATAAAGAAAAGGAAAAGAAGCAAAAGAATAAAGAAAAATCAAGAGAAGTAGAAAGGAAACCAAGATACACATGTAAACTGGAGCTTGCAGCAGGCAGGAAATTAGCAAAAATACTAGAAATAATAGAGGAAATATATATAGCCTTCAATTTTTTCTTGAAGATAAAAGTGAAAAGAGAAACAGCAGGAAAAAAAAAAGCAATTATAGCTAATTTTCGAAATCTCATTGATATACAGAAGGCATGTGACAAAAGATAAGTCTCAAAATTAAAGATAAAAATATAATTCAAATGTCTCTTACTATTAAAAAGGTTTTTTTTTAAATATAAAATTAAAAAAAAATTACCTACAAAGGTTTTTTGCAATTTAGATTACTTGATTCAAATGTTTTTTGAATTATGTTCCTATTAAAATAATAATTAATTAATTATGTCTTTTCAAAAGGAACATAATTGATCAGCAAAATTTTATATGCTAAATAATTTAGAGATCTATATTTACGTGTGACATCAATTTTGATATAGATGAAAATAGAAAATATCCAATTTCAGTAAAACAAAGGAAATACCAATCAGAAGAGAAAAATATAGTAATAGTTAAAAACATTTACCTTTCGACAAGCAAGAGGACAATCAAGGCAATACTAAGAAAGTTTGGGAACATCCACACTATACAGTGGGTAGACAAAAGTATTCGAACACGTGATTCATGATGTAATAGTACAATAACTAATGAAAAAGTTTTATTTAGTGTCTTAAATAAAATGATTCATTA